ATAATAAAAATATTGGTTGATACTAAATTCAATGCAATTGCCTGTGAAAACAATAAAAACTACCTCCCAAAAATTACTTGTATCATCTGGAAAAAAGAGCAAGGATCCTTGCACATTTTCCCTTTCTTTCCAAACATTTTGATCTTGTTTTGCAATATACAGGACTTCACAATTTGACCATCTTGCAATTTAATGATTGCATTTGCTGGGAGGTTGACTCTCAATTCAACCTCGGCCAGGAAATTTGACCAGTAGAGAGACATGAAACATCAAATGCCATTTAGAAAACATGCCATTTGAACTTGTCCAGCAATTCAACCACTTTGCAATTCAAGCTTAGTCCAGCAACAGATTAGGGTCAAATTGCAAGGTACCACCTGTGCTGTATTTACATGTATGCAATTACCACATGCACATTTTTCCATAGAAATTGACAACAAACATTTTTGTGCAAATCATACTTGGATATACAAGGGTTCAAACAAAAGTTCATGGAGTAGCAATGAAAATGGCTTACAGTTGAGCTGAACCAAATTTTTTCTTCAGGGAAAACATATTCTTTGGCACATAAAAAAATATCAGCCATGTTTGAAATTTTTTTTTGAATTTTTTCATAATTCACCCTGGCAGAGTTTTGCTCTCCACTCAAAAGATGAGACGCCCTTTTTTTTTGTAGCCCAGCTTTCCCTCAGAATTTTTGAAATCAACTTGGCATTTTTTCACGGCCACCAGCCAATGTGGCAGCTGCAAAGGCGGCTGTTGATGAAAATTGCAGAATTGCCTTGGAAGATCTGGAGGCAACTCTTAGAAAGAATGCCAAGTTGATTTCAAAAATTCTGAGGGGAAAGCTGGGCTAAAACAAAAAAGGGCGTCTCATCTTTTGAGTGGAGAGCAAAACTCTGTCAGGGTGAATTATGAAAAATTAAAAAAAATTTTCAAACAGGGCTGATATTTTTTTATGTGCCAAAGAATATGTTTTCCCTGAAGAAAAAATTTGGTTCAGCTCAACTGTAAGCCATTTTCATTGCTACTCCATGAACTTTTGTTAGAACCCTTGTACAGTACTGCACATTTCTTCTGATACCTTTCCAAAAAGTAGATGCACATTATACACTTGAATCAATTTTTTTCCAAAATTTTAATGAAAAATCCAACATGTAGTTGATGACACATGGTACTCAAGCAAATATGGCAACAGCAGAAAATGGACAGTTCATATAAAGATGACTCAAAAAAGGAAAAAGAGGACACAAAAGCTTTCACTTGAGTTTTTCAAAATCCTGGCAAGAGGGAACACCATAATTTTGTTTAAACAACGCATCCCATGCAAAATATCCCTCAATTCAAAATGTTGATGGCAAACAGAGTCCATTGTGCAAAAAAAAATTGATAAAACAAAACATCAATTTATTGAAGTACAGTACAGCTAAATTATAAAAAAATTGAACTAATACAGTGCCGAGTACATTTCCATACACCCAACATAATCTCTTCTCCAACCCCACCTCTTTGCAGTTCGTGAGAAAGAAAAAGATGAAAAAACATTCAATATACATTTCAAACCAGAGATTAAAAAAAAAAAGACGACAGCAGCAGCAAAGAGAAAAAGGAGTTCTTACCAAGACAACAGGAACAAGTCTCCATGAAAAGCAAGCAGATAAAGCGACGAAAATATAAATGACAGAATAGCTTGAAAAAATCATCACAGAAATAAATACTAAAAATAAAAACCCAAACTCACTATCAACGAGTTCAGCATTGCCCCCATTCGCAACGAAAGGATTCGTTGATTTGGCAGGTGCAGGGCCAGCGCTGTTTGCACCCGAAGCTAACAAACCGGACATGAAAAAAAAAATATACATATACAGTACTGTACAACCAAAACACAACTTACAAAAGGTGAAAAACAGAGAACAAAAAAACGCTACTCTTTAGCAAGAAAATATGGGCTCCACTGAAAGAATTCTTCTTACAGTGAGACCCACACATGCGGACACCTTGACCTGCAGACAATTCAACATAGGGACACTTATTTTCTCATACAAAATTTATAAAAAAGGCCTGACTTGACAACACTGACTCAATATAGCAACATTTCGTGATAAATTGCAAATACGTTTCAGACCAAATTACAAGAAACAGATATTTCCAAACCTAAAATTGATGTAAGAAAAGTTCTTGGCCAAGACTCTCATCAATTTACCATCCATTTAGCTGATTTTTAAAAATGATCTCCAGCATAGAAGGACTTCCTTCTCTCTTTTTCACTCAAATGCTATTTTTTTTATAGAGAATGCCAACATTTCTATGTACTTTACAGAGGTATCATTGTTCAATTCCCCAAATGTCCATATTGTGTTGAAATATATTGATTGGAATCAGTTAAAATTGGCAGACAATTTTTATTTTCATGGAATTATGGTGAGTATTTTGTCCATAAAACCCCAATTAAAAATTATATAATATAAGTCTAAGGGAAAATGAGACTTGACTTTGGGACATTTCAACTTAGGGACACTCTTGGAGCACCAATTTCATCTGCATCTCAGGGTCTCACTGTATAATAAAATATATATATACATACATATAATACAGTATATAAAAATATACAGTGAGTATCCACACAACAAATTTAAAAAAAATCCACATAAAAAAATTTCAATTGAGATGAAAAAAGTGACTCTCGCAACAAATTTGTTCCGCTCCACGGAATAGAGTAAAGCTACAAAAATGCGAGAACTTCAGAAAGTCACAAAAACAAAAATATGAAATGTTTGCCAAAGAGAGATTTTAAAAATGGAAACGATCTTGGAATCATCAAAACAGGAGCAAATATTCTGAAGAAAAAAAACCAAATGTAATCGCCTTTTTATACACTAAATTTTGAAATTAAGTATGAACGAATTTCTGCATCATCCAGACAATCAAAATTTGTTTGTTACTGTACTATAATCGCATTTTTTCCTTGAAACAGATAATTTGGCAATTTTGAAATTATTATGAAGAGAAAAACAACAAAATTCCACCTCGGGATTACTAAGATTTTACGCAGTTCTATGACTTTTACAAAAACATTAAAAATATGCGTATTAAACAAGTATTTTAATTATCCTAGTACTTAGTAAAGCTGAGTTGCCCAAATGATGCCGGTAAATTTCTTAAAAAACAAAGTACTTCACAACGATAAACATTCACAGCTGTGTTCTCAGTATCCCGTTTTTTACCCGTCATTCAATTTATTACAATTGAAATCCACGCGTTGCTCCACTTATCTATCAACAAATGTCACAGAAATACTGTACTTGAAACAATTTTAAAAGAGCTCTTCGTAAAACAAGATCCCGCCATTCTCCCTTGAGGAATATAAAAGAAATTCTTGTAGCTATCTCAATGGTTGTCACACCTTCCATAATTGCTCTTTCAGCAATAAAAAACAGAAAAATACAAATAAATTAGATTGTACTGTATATACATACAGTACCTACATTTATGAATGTATATCTAATTTATTTGTATATGTACTGTATATTTCTTTTTCTTTTTCTGGTTTACAAATAAAAAAACAGAAAAATTAGTTTAGATTATACTGTATGTACATACATACATTTATGAATGTATATCTAATTTATTTGTATATGTACTGTATACATATATGTTTGTATGTATATACAATACAGTATAATCTAAACTAATTTTTATGTTTTTTTTTATTAGTAAACCAGAAAAATAAAAATAAATTAGATTATACTGTATATACATAATAGATATAGATTATACTGTATATACATAATAGATATAGATTATACTGTATGTATATACAGTATAATGTATGTATAAACAGAAAAATACAAATAAATTAGATTATACTGTGTATACATACATACATATATGCATGTATATACAGTATAATCTAGTTTATTTGTATTTTTCTGTTTTTTATTGCTGAAAGATCAATTATGGAATTTTTACCCCCAGATGCAGATGTAATTGGTGCATCAAGAGTGTCCTGATTTCATAATGTCCCTAAGTCAAGTCTCATTTTCCCTTAAACTTCAATGCTAATGTATTTAATTGGTTCTCATGTTGTGAAAAATTAGAAATAAGTCCTCAAAAAAATTGATAAAAATTGTTCCCCTCAATTTCAAGTTGTAGAGAACAACAGTGCAGAACAAATCCACATAGAATCTGATCTGTTGGTATCAAAAGGAAAACAAAAATGAAAGAAAAAGAATAAGTCTTGCTAGAAAAGAATATATGCACAGGTGATAGAAAAAACTGTCAAAAGAAAAAAAATCAGCTTGCTTTAGTTTACGAATTGAAGTAAATTTATCATGAAATATTTGTTTTCAATTTTCGAGAATATAAATTGCTTGATTTCTTCAAAAGATAACAAAATAAAAAAAAATAAAATGTTTCCATTCTTTTGGAAAATCTCCAAGAAGTGTCCCGGAATCGAGCCAATGTCCGGATGTTGAGCCTGATATTTTCAAGTGTCCCTATAAGTTCGAATTGTCCGTACGTCGGGGTGTCCGCATAATGGGGTCTCACTGAACATTACAATTCACGTGCATTCTACCGTACACTGATGAAACATTCAATCCAAGATGTGGCTTCTACGCAGTGCAGAAAAGGATTTGCATTTGATACAGGTAAGTAAATGAACCATGAAAGCAACGAAAATTAATTTCAAATTCCCCACTCTTCCAAGAAAATTATTATTCATCTCTTGGGGTAATTTTAGTCCCCAGGAAGATGATGAAACACGAACAAAGCTAAAAAAAAATAAAAGTAAGCTAATCAAATTTAAAGGCAAAAGTATTTTAAACATATAACCTGGCCAAGAAGAGACCGACGCAATTTTTTTTAGATTCTTCATCACGCGATAGAAATTTCATTATTCGAATATGAACTCACAAATGTTTTCTTTTCTTCAATTTGTCCAATGCAGCTTTTCTGTTACGTATTTTCTGGTTCCTGGTTTTCATTTTCACAAAAAAATCCTGAGCTTCGTCAGTTTTTTTTCCCCTCATGGATAGCGATTACAAAAATGTCAAAAAGTTCTGTATTCGAACATTTTTTTTTTCAAATCGCTAGCCCAATTATTGATAAGCGGTTCGAAACAGAGAGAATTCCACGCACAGTTCCTCCCACAATATTTTAGAGGTATAAAAAAAAATTTAATTACGACGCTTGCAAAGGTTACGAACTCGATAATTTTTCAAAAACTTGAAAGCTCAACGAAGTTCATTTCACGGAACTGTATTGAAAGTTTCTAACATCAAGTACAGTGAAGTACGGTACGAAGAAGTAATTTTAAGTAAATTCTCCGATTTACATTCATTGGAAGTCAAATTTTAAAAAATTCTGTGCACACAAAAAAACCGCGAAATCCGAGAGAACCAGGAATATCATAATTTCAGCGGAATAATTTCGAAAATTTTTGATCCACCGCGCACAAAAACAAAAATCGGTACTGTACGATTAATTGTACAGTATCCCAATGGGCGCAACTACAAATAAACAATATTGAATCCTTCAAAAAAACAAAAATTATCGACACTAGTGATTTTTCGTTTTCTATAGTACTGTACAGTACTTTCAAAACGTCACGACGTCAAAATGTACCAGGAACTTCTTGGAAGTCAGAGGTCATCAAGTAAGTACTGTTCAACATGATTAAAATTAAAATGAAGAATGAATTTACGGTCTTTTCTTGTTGATTTTGTGAGAGAAAAAAAGTACTGACTGAACTCTTGAACCATTCCTCGTAAGTTCATATCCTCGACAAACAAACGCTCATTTATTTACTCTCATCGCATAAACATGAACTGAGAACTATAAAATAAATTACGCATCGATTTTTCTCGAATAAAAGACGCACCTCTTGAATTTATTTTGAATATTTTTAAGGTGGAACAAATCAAGTCAATCTTTTAATCTCATTTAATTCCTTCTTAATCAGGTAAGTGGCATTTATTGAGGTACAATACAAATATTTGTCAAGTATCAATAATACTTTTTTTTTGTTTGCAGTGGATCGAGAATTAATTCACCGGATTTCATAATTTCATTCATTTTTCAATCGTGGCAGAAGTGAATGTTAATGCTGCAAAAGGAGAGACCCAAAAATGCTTTCAATAAAGTACAGTTCCTTGAAGCAAAGTTCTTTGAACACTCGACTTTTGAAATCTCATTAATTCGAAATTCTTTCAAATATTCACAATCGCCGGCTCAACTCTTCCAACACATTAAAATTGTACCAATATTTCAACTACTGTGCCTTTAACTGAAATAGGCATGAATTATTTGCTTGAATTTAGGGTACTTTCCTGTTATCTCTGTACCTGATTCCTAGACCGCACTACCATCCAGACAAATCTTTAGGACGAGTTCATAATCACAACGACCTACCAGAAACTGAATTTTAGTTTTTCCGCATTATGCTGAAACTGATTTTGGGAGGCGGTTAGGTAAAGTTAGGTTAGGTCAGGTTAAATTGGTCAGAGGGGAGGTACAGAGATAACAGGAAAGTACCAAAAAGGTCTTTAAATTAGAGAGGTTTTCAACGAATAGTTTCAAAGGGAATTCAGACAAGACACTTGTAAAAAAAATCGACTCAGGGAGGTTCGAGTTATCGAGGTTCAACTGCATCACAATACAAATCATCACATCAATTTTCATTTCAAAAGCAAGACTCTCGCCATCATATTTCTTTCCCACTCGACGCAAATAAAACTCACGATGCTGAAAGGGATTGTGCACGACGCCATTAGACTGTTGAAAGCCGCCGTTCGGCTGCTGCTGGTGGTGGTGCTGCTGCTGAAAGCCGCCACCAGGCTTCATCCACGCATGCGTCTGCGGCTCAGGTTTCGGCGGCTCCGGCGGCGACACCGACGTCTGCTTAAACAACTCATCCAAGTCAGCCAAAGCTGCGTAGCGGTCCGGACCAAAAGCCTCCTTCTTGGGCGGCGTGGCGGCGGCAGCGGCTGTGGTGCTGTTGGATGAGGCGGCAGTGTTGGCTATAGGCGGAGACCCAAAGATCCCGGCGGCGGTGGCGGCGCCTGCCGCCGACGGCGGACACACCGAGGACGCCGACATCGACGTCATCGGCTGCAACGCTCCACTCTTTGAGCCTGGAATCATTGAAAAAAAATTAGTCAATTCACTTGCCCGGGAAATAAAAGTGCATGCATTCACGCAAACATAAGACCGATTTGACAACACACAATTTTTTTACGCGTATCATAAAATCCACATTTTAAAATGCTAGTTTCTGCGATGATCAAAAAGAATGGGAAATTAATTCGAATGATCATCAAGACCGAAATCAGTCGTATTGCCGTATTATTCACCTGTTCCATCTCCTCAAAAATATTTCTTTGACATGACAATTTTCACAATTTTAGCGCCGCATTTATTTTGATGAAAATTAATCATCATCTACTGTATTTATATTTATATCAACGTTTTTTTCCCATTGAAATAAATCAGTAATTATATCAAATTATTTAATCCCAGTGTTTTCAATGGTATTTTTCTGATTGAAATGTTTTTTTTTCTGCATTGAAAGCGGAATAAATTTTCATGACGTCACTCGTGCGTAAAATTCTTCAGATTTTTATTCCGTTTATACGTTGAAATGTGAGTTTTTAATTGAATACATCTTTTTTTTTAATTGACATTGAAATTTCAACGAATAAACGGAATAAAACGTCTGAAACTATTTCCCAAAATTCACGCCATCAACATAAATGTAGCTTTGAATGCAATTAATTTCAATCAGAACAATATTAAAAAATTATAAAATCAAATAATGGTCAATTTACATCAAAATGACGAAAAAAGTCAAAACCTAAAATCCTGAAAATTGACACGTCCAAGAAACACTTGCGGAGATGAAACAGTTGAATAATGTTACGCGTTTAAGGTACAGTACTACAGAACATGAAAAACAAGTTTGTTTACTGTACTGCGAATGAGCAAGTCGCAGCGCGTTTTAAGCAACAGTATAGGCAAATCAATAGTTTTTGTTTATTTTAATTTACGGAGAAGCTGATCAAATCGTTGAGCGTGTTACACTCGCGTAAATACAGCACTCGAATCTCAGCACACGCATCTCAAGAAGAGGAAAAAAGCACTCTCATCCACAAAATGGCCGACCTATTGTCACTTCCCCGCGCTAAGAATTCCGGCATCACTGATCAGCAAAAGGGAAAATTTTTCCATGCGAGAAAAAAAAAAGGAATTGAAGCACTTCAAGCCACCTCGAAAAAAAAAAGGTTTACTGTTCAATTTCTCAGGAAAAACCTTTTTAAAATTTTGAACATGTTTGAAAGACCTTCTGAGAATATTTCCCCCATGTATTCAAAAAACAAAATAGTTTACTGGAAATGGAGGTAAGGTGTCACATGAATACAAAACATCCTAGACAAAGCTTAACTTTAAAATAATTCTCCGGAAAACCTTTTAAAAATCAAGAAAATTCTTTGAAGGCTTGAGAATATTTTTTTTCCACTTTTTCAACAAACTTTTGTACTGAGAATGGCAGAAAGGTGTCCCATGAATAAAAAATCCTAGAAAAAGCTTTCCTAACCAGAGCTTAGCAAGATGGAAATTCAACTCAGGAAGTTTTTTAGTTGGGGAATTAGACTTCATTTAGGCCATCAATAAATAATCTATACTAACAACAGAATCGAAATTTCTTGGCCAATTTACAAGAACTACTTATTATTCACAGACATCAAGTCCCAATGTGCCAATTTGATAACTTTAAATTTTATAAATTCAAATTTAATAACTTTAAATTTTATAAATTCAAATTTAATAACTGTAAATTTCATAACTTAAAATTATATAAATTCAAATGTAATATCTGAAAATTTGATAACATTAAATTTGATTTTTTTTTTTTAGTTTTGACTACAGGAGGCACAATCCCAAAAGATTTCCTGTTAGTGAGCTCAAATTGTATTAAATTCAAAGAAAGTAGTCAAAATATATGAAAATAAATATAATATAATATGATATATTCCAGAAATTTGAATTGGGGAGGTGTTTCAACTTAGTTGGGCTTAACTTGGCAAGGTTTGAATTTACAAGTCACGTTTGCATCACACCACATTAAATTATAATCTTGGTTTCAACTAGGTTCATGGGAACAAGATTCCAACTCAACATAACTCACTCCAGCGAAATTAAATGAAATCTAACTTTACTTCTAGTGAATAGCTGACCTGTTTTAATACAGTACTTGCTTTTTTTGTGAACTTCCTCTTTCAATAACCTGTTTTATACATGCTATAACCCAATCAAACACTGCTCCCCAGCCATCTGACCCAATATCCACTCAAAAATCTTCTCTAATAAATTCGCACACATCCAATCCAATGCCCCAGAAAGAAAAAAAAGGGGGGGGGTTGGAGAAGACATGCAAATATAATAATACAATGGGGCCCCACGATGCGGGCAGAATTGGCACTTGAACTGTGTTTCCATTCCAGAATGTCTACATATCAGGTCATGTATTCCCATTAACTTCAATGAGAACATGTTCAATTGTTACTCTAGTTCCTCAAAAATTGGGAAAAATTCCTCGAAATTGAATAAAAAGCTTTCTTAAATTCAAGAAACAAGTAAATAACTGCGCAGAAGAAAACCAAAAATAAACTTGATCTCTTGGCTTGAAAATGAAC